CCGTCGCACCCAAAACCTTTAAAAATTCTCATGGGCACGACGGTAAAACACCTGTTGCCGTAAAAAAGTTAAAAAGCTCATAAAACATCCATTCACTTTCTACTCCTGCGTTCACTTTTTCTACTCACGGTGCCGTTCATGCCGTTCTTCTTCACACCGAAAGAAACCCCTTGACACCGAAAGGAATCTCTTCAAACCTCTCATCTTCACACCAAAAAACGCACAACAAGCAGTTTAACATCCTCTGCGTTCATCTCTTCAAACACAGTAAGTTTTATGTATCACTTTTTGCATTGTTCTCATCTCTCTCATTCTCTGCCATTGATTTCAGCATTGGAGATTCACTTGAATCTTATGGTTGAGCTCTTTGTGATGATTGATTTTGAGTTTGAATATATTGAATTGATGTTAGGTTTTCTAATTTGTTGTTTTAGGGTTTTATTTCTTTTTATAATTTTTTAGGTTTTCTAATTTGTTGTTTTAGGGTTTGATTTGATTATTAGATTAAATATGTCGCTGGACCGATTAGAATCGATGAAAACTAATATAAATTGGTGAAATCAAAAAAATTGCCTATTTTCTTAAACAATGATTTATCAGTAATGAAGTTCTGTTTTGGAGGAATTGCAACTTTGTATGCATTTGGTGTTTGTGCTTCATCATCTAAAGGCGATATCTGGTTTCTTTCTGTATCTTTATGAGTTGGAGAATCCATTGGAGATATCAACAGTGACCTTCACTATGTTATGTTATAGAGAGAAAAGTCATAACCAGTGATGGCAATAAAGTCTAACTGTAACATTAAATTAGAATATGATATGGTTCATAAATATTGCATGCAAAGTCTACCATGTTGCTTACACCTCAACTAGATAGTTCATAAATTAAGCTAATCAAAGATATAATTATAGAGACCGACTCGTAACTCTAAGAAACTCATGGACCACGTCGTCCATTGGATCGAGGGTGTGGCTTAATCGGTGTCATCAGTTCAACAAAAACAATGTTGGAATATGAGTTGAATTTTTAGGCATGCATATATGTTTTTGTTCAACTAATATTCAAGTACCAGACCGCGTTGAAACACTTCAAATTTTCGTAAAATAAAACCATACATAGAGAAATAATACCTAGCAAACCTGAAGAGAAGATTTGAATGGTCACTGGTTCAATCTGGTTCAATCTGTAATACAAATGCTTTATTGTGAAGCTATTGGATTATATAACATGAATAATACTAGGACATATTGATTTGTTTAGCTCTGATATTGCTGAGATTAGTTAGTTGTAAATTAATATATATATATATATATATATATATATATATATATATATATATATATATATATATATATATATATATATATATATATATATATATATATATATATATATATATATATATATATATATATATATATATATATATATATATATATATATATATATATATATATATATATATATATATATATATATATATATATATATATATATATATATATATTAATGCTGCGTATGGTTGAGGTCATTCAAATCAGCTAAGTACAATCGAGCTCTCCGCTTTCTTAAGCGCATGGTTGACAGGGGTTATAAACCTGATGCCATTCTCTGCACTAAATTGATTAATGGTTTTTTCAATTCTAAGAAAACCCAGAAAGCTATTCGGGTCATGGAGATTTTGGAAAAGCACGGCCAGGCTGATGTTTTTGCGTATGAAGCACTTTTAAATGGGTACTGTAAAGCTGATATAGTTGATGCTGCCAATAAGGTGCTTGATAGAATGAAAAAGAGAGGTTTTTTACCTGATGTTGTTACTTATAATATTCTCATTGGGAGTCTTTGTGGGAGGGGTAAACTTGATTTGGCTTTAAGGGTTATGGATCACTTGTTGAAAGATAATTGTAGGCCAAATGTTATAACTTATACTATTTTGATTAAAGCAACTATTATTGAAGGTGGTATTGATAAGGCTATGAAGCTTTTGGATGAGATGTTGTCGAGAGGGCTTCGACCTGATGTGTCTACTTATAATGTTGTTGTTAAAGGTATGTGTAAAGAAGGGTTGTTGGATAGAGATTTTGAGTATCTTAGTAGTATAAGTTGTAAGGGTTGTGTTGCTGATGTGAGTCCTTATAATATTCTGTTGAAGAATCTTTTGAAAGAAGGGAAATGGGAAGATGGAGAGAGTTTGATGTCTGATATGTTGGATAAAGGTTGTGAGCCGAGTTGTGTGACATACAGCATATTGATTTGTTCACTTTGTCGTGATGGTAAAATTGTCGAGGCTGAGAATGTGTTGAAGGGTATGAAGAAGAGAGGGTTGGCTCCTAATGCTTATTGTTACAATCCATTGATTTTTGCTATTTGTAAAGAAGGAAAAGTAAATTTGGCTATAGAGTATTTAAATAACATGATATCAGATGGTGGTTTGCCTAGTATTGTTTCCTATAACTCGATCTTGGCTTCTCTGTGTAAGAATGGACATGCTGATGAGGCTTTGAACATCTTTGAGAAGCTCGGTGAAGTGGGCTGTCCTCCAGATGCAATTTCTTATAATACATTGTTTGGTGCATTGTGGAGCAGCGGCGAAGAAATTAGAGCGTTGGGGATGATTTTGGATATGTTAAGCAAAGGCATTGATCCTGACAAGGTCACCTATAGTTCACTTATTTCTTACTTGTGCAGAGATGGATTCATGGATCAGGCAATTGAGTTGTTGGTTGACATGATGGAGAGTCACAAGTATCAGCCTGCTGTTATTAATTACAATGTTGTTATTTATGGATTGTGCAAGGTACAAAGAATCATACATGCTATTGAGGTGCTTGCTGCTATGAATCAGAGAGGATGTGTGCCAAATGAAAATACATGATGTGCACTCCAGTATCTCAGAGTGGCATGTACAAGCAGTACGGGAAAAGTACATGAAATCCAAGGTACGTAGTGGATTGGGTTTCCTTGCAGTCAAAGTCACACGCATTCACGTACTCAGAGTTTTACTGACAATTCAATCAAGATCAGTCAGGGTCACTAAAGCCCTGAATGCATAAATGTGTGGTTAATGTGACTGCATTGAATCCATTTTTAGCGGTGTTCACTTAGTTTGTCAGTGTTTGTTATTGAATCCAGCACTGATATCTAATCTAACTGTCCTTTTTACAAACAGTTTCTGAGTATGGCATCTTTAACTGCTGGGGAAATTCCTGCAAACTATTTTGATCCTATTGATCAATATGATTTGAGCCGTTGAACACCATCTGCACTTTCCATCCACAAATTTTGTCGAGTCTGTTTCGAAGAGCCCCATCAGCTTATTATAGGCGCCAGAAACTCTGATGACTTGCTGCTGTTTTGTATGATTTATAAATTGTCAATGTTTTTATTTGTATGGATATTGTGGGTATATTTTTGTTTTAGCTTTCGGTTTCAATAAGTAACAGATCTAGTAATCTGGAATTCTGTTAAATTATATCATAGATGCTATTGAGGGTCTGGAGCACAATACCGGCCGTTGTTTATACACTGAGACTTGCATTGATTGCTTAAGAGAAAATCATTAGGGCAGTACCAAGTTATAAAGTGAGGAGTAAATTGAGTGAACCCCTTCTTCTCAAGAAACTGAGCTTCACCTTTAAAGCTCTTCACAAAATCAATTTGATTGTCACACTTTGGATCACATTCGTCATTGCTATTCGTCCATAACTCATACTCAACTCTGTCGTCCGGATGCGGAAGAGCCTCTCTCCAATCAAGATTTATGTGAACAACCTCACCATTCAAGAGAGCTTTCTTGATTCTGTCCCCCAAGGATTTGCTGATAAGAGTAGAAGGAATATTAATCTTTTCCACATAATCATCGTTTGCAACATTCCCTTCTTCAGGAGTGTCCATAATGATTAGTGTTTCTTCTTTGTCATCCGCTACAAGAATAGCCGTTGCTCCACCATTTTGTGCATTCCACGCCTTCAAAGTGAAGTAGCAATCTACCAAAATCACCACAGAATAGATTTAAAAGAGAATTGCTATAACGTTTTAGAAACCACTTCTTTGCAAGTTTTCATTAACGTATATATAGAAATAGAAGGCAAACAGACAATAAACAGTAGTAAAAATCTACGAACTTTCAATTCCAATGCACAACATATTCAAAACACCACAAGCAAGCAAAACCAACCACTAAAACCTTAACAATTTACAAATCATTGATCTCTCTTTTAAACACTTTTTATGAGATTCACAAACATCTGAAATCTTGATGACACATTTTCATACATCTGAAACATGAAGTGTCTTCTAGACTAGAATGTAAATAATAATGTTTTTGTTGGATTTAAAGGGATATGAGCTGTTGAAAAATATAATATTTCTATTTGATAAATCTATGATTTCTACCAACTATTGATATGCTGCTTTGGTTTTTGTTGCAGGTAACTTTTCTCTTCCACTTGCTTCGCTGCTCTTCAAACCCTCGTGCGTCTTTGAGGTATGAGTTCATTCTTAAATTTGAGTGTGCCTTTACTATATCACTGTTTAATAGTGTTAGACTAAAGAATTTTATCTTATAAGAATTTTATCTTAAATTTGAGTGTGCCTTTACAAATACATTATTCTTATAAGCAATTGTAATAACCAAAATTGCAATGTTTGCAATCGCATTCATACGGGACCGCAAAAGCACTTTAAAATCCTAGTACAAAGCAATATTAAGGTCGCACTCGCACACTGACACAACATAAGTAAATATTCTTGAAGTACCTAGCTAAATGTAGTAAACATATTGATATGAAGTATTTATCCATATATGTCTGTTACATGAAACCGTATTATACTAATTGATATCACAAGGCTTCACCTATAAACTTGTTATGTAGTGTGTAAAAACAAATTAAAGAACCAATAATAAAACTCATCTCTTTTATTTTTCTATTGTTTATATTCAAAATAACATGTTCTCGTAAGTACTAGAATTCTAAAAATATAATTTTTTTTTTGAAGAAATGGATAAGTCATGGATTATTAAGCCACAATCATCGATTGCGTATCAAAAAGGGATACAAGAATTTATTGATTTTGCATTTAAAGGTGCAAAAGAAAACGACGTAGTAATATGTCCTTGCAAACGTTGCGGTTTCAGAAAATTAAAGAGTAGGAGTGACATGTTCGACCACTTAAGTTGGTCACCATTTCCGCAGGGATACACCATGTGGATCCATCACGGAGAGTCTTTTGTACGATCTAGTACTATCTCCCCTAGTACTACTCCAAGTATGGTAGAAGATACTAACATTGTCGAAGAACCTATTCAGAACATGATCAACGATGCATTTGGAGTTTATGGGAATCATGCAAATGAAATACCATCTGCGTCAAATTTGGAGATTGAACAAGAAGATTATGTGATGCCAAGCTCAACTCAGGAAAGAAACGAAGCCAAGGAGTATTATGAGTTGGCTAGAGAAGGAGAACAACCTTTATATGAAGGGTGTATACGATATTCAAGACTATCTTTTTTGGTTAAGTTGTACCATATAAAGTGTTTATGTGGATTGAGTGAGAAGGCAATGACAATGATTTTAGAGTTAATAAAAGATGCATTTGAATATGCAAACATTCCAAGTTCATTCTATGAAGCCAAGAAATCAATCACAAAACTTGGTTTGAATTATGTAAAGATACCCGCATGTCCAAACGGTTGTATGCTTTATAGGGGAGAAGATGAGGAGAGGGAGACTTGCAAAAATTGCAACACTTCAAAATGGAAAACAAATGAGGACGTCTCTGTTAACAAGAAAAAAAAGAAAATTCCTGCCAAGGTTCTTCGTTATTTTCCATTAAAACCTCGATTACAGAGATTATTTTTGTCATCAAAAACGGCAGAGGATATGAGATGGCATGCAACAGATACTAACAATGATGGAATGTTGAGGCATCCTAGAGATTCAGAAGCTTGGAAGAAATTTGACTTGACACATACTTGGTTTTCATCAGATCCACGGAATGTGCGTCTTGCATTGGCTAGTGATGGTTTTAATCCTTTTGGTGTGATGAGTACAAACAATAGTATTTGGCCAGTTGTTCTCATACCATATAACACTCCTCCATGGGTTTGCATGAAGCAGGCATCATTTATAATGTCAATGATAATTCCCGGTAAAGAGGCACCAGGAAATAATATTGATGTCTACTTACAACCATTAATCAAAGACCTGAAGGAGTTATGGACAAGTGGTGTGGATACATACGATTCTTTCAAGAAAGAGATGTTCAAGTTGCATGCAAATTTGATGTGGACTATTAGTGACTTTCCAGGGTTGGGTTCACTTTCTGGGTGGAACACATACACAGGACTTGCTTGCCCATCGTGTAACTTTCAAACTACACCTCTCCGTCTTAAAGCTAGTCGTAAATGGTGTTTTATGGGTCATCGTCGTTTCCTTGATCGGAGACACAGGTTTAGATTGAACAAGATCCGCTTTAATGGTGAACAAGAAATGCGGAGTCCACCGAGAACATTATCTGGACATGAAGTTTTTGAAAAGGTTAAAGATGTTGAAGTCATCTTTGGTAAAAAGGCAGTGAAAGAAAAATCAGTAAAAAGAACACGTGAGGAACAACCTATAGAAGGTGATAGTACACAATGTGATCCTACAAAAGGTCATCCTCAACAATGGAAAAAGAAAAGCATATTTTTTGAACTTCCGTATTGGAAAGATAATCTTCTACGCCATAATCTTGATCCGATGCATATTGAGAAAAATGTGTGCGATAATGTCCTATTTACTCTACTGAATGATAGGCAAAAGAGTAAAGACCATTATAAAGCTCGAGAAGACCTTCAAAATATGGGCATAAGACCTGATCTTTGGCCTGATGAAAATGGTAAAATTTCTCCGGCTGCCTTTAGTTTAACAGGTAAAAATAAAAGGAATTTTTTAATGACTTTAAAGAATATTAGGGTGACTGATGGTTATTCAAGCAACATTTCTAGATGCATTGACTTAGTAAATCTCAAGGTGAATGGAATGATGAAGAGTCATGATTGTCATATATTAATGGAACAACTTTTACCATTAGCCATTCGCACAACATTACCTCATGAGGTTTCAGCAGTATTGATTGAGTTCTGCTCATTCTTTAGACTATTATGTGCCAAGGTATTGAAAATTGAAGACATGGAAAAATTGCAAAACCAAATTGTCCTCACTTTATGCCATATGGAAATGTTATTTCCTCCCTCGTTCTTCACGGTTATGGTCCACTTGGTTGTTCACCTTGTTGAAGAAGTTAAACTTGGAGGTCCTGTTCATTATCGATGGATGTATCCTGTTGAAAGGTAAACTATGTGATTTTGTTCTAATGTTACTAACTTAATTAGAAAGTAGAAAGTTTTTTTAACTAGTGTTATTGTGGTTCAATGATAGGTACTTGGGAAAACTTAAATCGTATGTACGTAATAAGGAAAAACAAGAAGGGTCTATTGCAGAAGGATATCGTTTTGAAGAGATTCTTACATTTTGTTCAAGATATCTAGAAAATATTGAGACTAGATGGAATCAACCTGGACGTGTAGATGACGAACCTATTGATGATATCCAAACTGCTTCACGTGTAGCTGAATTATTTCCTAGAGTTGGAAAACCTGTGGGTGGATCTTCTTATTACACCCTAACACCAACTGAAAAATTGCAGGCTCATAGACACGTTTTAACAAATTGTCCAATAGTTGACGACTATCTAAAGTATGTAGTTTTATTACATTTAAGTAGTTTCATCTATACTATTAATATTTTTTTACATCTAATATCGAATAATCAAATAGTGATTTGGAGGGGTCCCTTACTATGGAAGATTAATAGATATTCAAGCAATAGTGATACCCAAATGAGATTTGGAGGGGTCCCTTACTATGGAAGATTAATAGATATTATTGTGCTTTCCTATGATGGCTTCACAGTGCCCATGTTTAAATGTGAATTGGCTAATACCATAAACCCAAGAGGAATTAAGATAGATAAGTTGGGTTTTACCTCTATAAACTTTGCAAGACTACTACATACTAGTGAACATGAAGATAATGAGCCATATATTCAAGCATCTGAAGCTCATATGGTTTTTTATGTAGATGATGAGAGTGAACAAGGATGGAGCATACATGTTCATTTGAAGCCAAGAGACTTGTATGACATGGGTGGAAATGATGAAATTATGACACCCATTGTGCCATATCCATCACAAAATTTGGAACAAATCTTTTCAAATGATGATCTTGGAACTTCAGCGACAAATGATGACAATAGTTAACATATAGTTTTTTATTGATAAGAATCTAGTTTGTTTGTAACTTGTGTGAGACTTAATGTATGATATTCCATTGTTACTCTATGTTCTTTGTTGCTTATCCCTAATTAATATGTTAGATGACATTGTTACTCTATGTTTTTAATTTATTGTGTTTATGTTATGTTTATTAAATTTGTATTCACTAATATATAATTTTGATGTTTACTACTTTTAGTGTACTTAATACCTATACTTGCAGTTGAAGCCTTTTGTGAGACAATGACTACACCATATGAGAATAGTCGCCTCAAAAGAATTGCAGAGAATAAGAAAAAGTTAGCGGCTCTCAATCTTCCTACACTCTCTCAATCCCTTCACAAATCATCAGAGTCTTCTTCCAAACCATCACTGGTCAGTCATAAATTCTCTATACTACTCCATACAAATTAATTGTACTTATTATTTACTAATATTCACTAATGTATTTTATTTAGTCTGTGAAGGGCCGTTCAAGGTTTGTACAACCTGGAGAGCTTGAAGTAAATAAGAAGCGCCTACGTTCAATTACAACTCGCAAATCATCAATAACCCCTCCACCAATGGAAACTACAATAACCCCTCCACCAATGGAAACTACAATAACCCCTCCGTCAATCCAAATTGCAAAAGATGTTGTGGTAGAAGATGAGGATGAAGATGACATGGTAGGAGATGAGGCTGATGATGTTATGGTAGGAGATAGGACTGGAGATGTTGTATTAGGAGATGAGGCTGAAGATATTGTGGTAGGAGATGAGGCTGAAGATGATGTGGTAGGAGATGAGGCTGAAGATGTTGTATTAGGAGATGAGGCTGAAGATGTTGTGGTAGGAGATGAGGCTGAAGATGTTGTGGTAGGAGATGGGACTGGAGATGTTGTTAAAGTGGCTAAATCTGAGTATTGGGATGTAAATGTCATTAGTAAGTAATTTAAGGTTAAAGTATCTATAAATAATTTAAATTTTTTACATAGTTGAGTTATGAAATTAATTTGTTTACTTTTTTAATGTGATAGACGAGGAAGGTTATGTTTCAAACACACGTTTATGTGTGAAAGACTTGGTTGCGAAATCAGAGCCTGATGGAACATGGATAATACTTGAATTCAATAAGAATGATTGTGCAGTAGGATCGGCTTCTGGTTTGCTAGCAGGATATTTGGGTATAATTATTAGAATGTTTAGAGATATTCCCATAATGTTTGAGAGTTGGAAGAATGTTCCAGCAGATACAAAAACAAAGTTTTATGAATCAAAGATAAAGGTATTATTAATAAACAATTACATATTTTTTAAATTAACTTCATGGTGATTATTATTTCCTTTGTCAACTAATATATTTTTATGTTTAGCGCCATTTTCTTGTGGATGATGGGCGTGACAAAGATTTTGTACTTGCTTCTGCTGCAAGGAAATGGAAGGATGCCTGACATACATTGTTTCACGAATTTTATAGATGGGATCTCCCTTTGGAGGAAAATCTTCAAAATTATCCAAAATGCAGAGGCATTCCTGAAAATGACTGGGCTGTTTATGTTCAATATAGGCGGAAAGAAAAAACACAGGTAACATTAGTGTTTTTATTTGTTAGATTTCTCTGGTTTGTATGTTATCCCTATCTATAATGCATGTTTTTATTTGTTACAAATGTAGAAAATATCCCAAAAAAATTCCCAAAATAGAGCAAAATTGAAGGCTCCGCATACACTCGGATCTAAGTCGCTTGCAAGGAAGAAACATGAGTTGGTATGTCTAAATCTATATGTTGTTGATCGTTTGCTTGATAGTACAAACAATTTATATTAGTTTTTATTTGCAGGAAATGAGAGATGGACGAACATACAGCAGAGGAGAAATGTATGCAGTTTCTCATAAAAAGCCTAACGGGTCATTTATCAATGAAGATGCATACAACAATAATGTAAGTACGAGTTAATTCTTTTGAAATACTGGGAAAAAAACGGTAATAGTAATAGAACCATCCCAAATAAAACTCACCACTGGAATTTATATATATAATATGGAGAAAGAGCCCGATATATGCTTGGATTCCACTTGATGACATTGTAAATGCCAATCGTGAAAATAGATAGTAACCATAGGATGATTATGGGAGGAAACATGAAAGCAATCGCGTGGGAGCCACGGTGTTGCAAAATAAAGAGACCAACCAGTAGAACACAGGAAATAAGAGGCATCATACCTGCATAGATTAGAAGCGTAAGTTGTAATGGAAAAATCACATATGCTGCATTTGACATATATTTGAAACATTGAAAACTGTGGGGTAACTTTAGTGGGAAATTTCAGAATAAATATCCTAGAGTGATTTTGTTTATACTGAAGAATGGTGGATAGCAAGCTTTACTGAACTTCTTGTAAACAATTCTCCATGTCACATTTGCAATAGTTTGTGCCACCTCCTAGTTTGTGCCAACTTCTTTTTACGTATATATGGAAGTCCATGATTTGATCAAGAGGTTCTCCCCCAATATATTATTCTTGTTATATAAACAATAGCTCAATTTTTTCTTTTTCATGTGAAGAAAAAATTACAAGCTGCAAATAAGGATTCTGTGTTTGAAAATGAGGCATTTCAGAAAGTATTTGGAAAAGAAAAGCATGGATATGTTCGTAGTATGGGACTTGGAGTTACACCATCTCAAATTAATAGATCTACGAGATCGACATCTTCTTCTGCAGAAAGTGAACAAATAAAGGAAATGCAAGAAGAAACTAATGCACTTAAAGAAAAGAATTCAAAAATTGATGAATTAACACAGGCAATCATATTCTTAACGCAAAGGGACAAGGCGAGGACAAAGGAAATTGAACTCTTAATGCAAATGCAGAATTTTAGTGGAAGACAGGTATATTATTTTGACGCATTTAAAGTTAAATTTTATGAGTATTATTTTAAAGATTATTATTTTAATACCTTTTTTTAGGGATTGGAATCACCCGCTGATGGTAGACGTTCATCTGAGTCTAGCTACCGTATTGGAGATAATGGAACTTCAGGGGGGACAAATTAGACTTTGATATGGTCGAGATAATTAGATTGTGAACTTTCTCATGTATTTTTGGCATAATGATACTTATTATTATAAGATTAGGAATTGATATATTTTGGGTTTTTTGTACTACTTGACATGATTATGGAACTCGCATTTTACATGATTATGGAACACACATTTTTTTGGATATTATAATGCTTATTTGATGTTAAATATTTTTTATTGAAATTATTTTTACTATATTACAAAGTGATAGAAAATAAAACAAAAAATAATACTATAAATAAATATATTAAAGAAGAAATAATTTAAAGAAAAAAATAACACAAAAAAAAACTATATTTAAAATTTTTTACATAGATAATAATTTAAATAAAAAATATATATAATAGAAAAATATAAAAAAAAATCAAGACATAAACAAAAGTCATGGCGACAGTACCGAACCGTGATAATCAACAATTAAAAATAATCAACAAAAGTCATGACGGTATCGAACCGTCGCCATAAACAATTTAATCAATTTCAAAATATATTCACGACAGTATCGAACCGTCGCCATCAATAATTAAAAGAAACTCAAAAGATAGTCACGACGGTATCAAACAGTCACCAATACTTGATTATGTCAGCTCCAAACCCGTCGTAAACTTGAACGACAGTTTTTGTAACCGTCGCGAAATAGGTTGGGGACACACACTTCTGTGACGGTAAAGCAACCGTCGTGGAAAGCAAATTGCGACGGTTTTAACCGTCGTAATCTACAAAAATACCTGTCGCAATCTGCCAATTTTCTTGTAGTGATGATAGAATTATGGTTTTGTATGCAAATCAAAAACAATAAATAACTTGACCTAATTCAAAGAAAACAAAGCATGAAAATGGACAAACACCAATCACACTTGCACCCCTTAGGGTTACTCCACTTGTTGCCTTCAATAATGGGCCATGTTGCATGTTAGGTATCTTTGGCAAAACAAAACAAATTCAAATGATCATAGTCCCTCGATGACGCTTTCAAAAGTTGCCTAAAAATGATCAAGTCCCTTAAAGGAAAAATTGCCCAAAGATACTTGGCACCATTGCAATCATGGTCTAAACGATGACCCGCGCCTGTCCCGTTCACATCCTAACACAAGATTGTCCACCAAATACAATGGTGGAACAAAATTGTTAAAAGGGTTAAAACATAGCAAAGATCTTTGAGAAATTTAGGGTAGATAGCTCTTAGTTACTTGCCAACTTGCAAAACAAAAACACTTGCCTATTTTTTTCAAAACACACAACACACTTTCAAAACAACTTTCAAAAACATCGAAAACTTTTCAAAAGACATACACCTTTGTATACATCCAAACATGGATCATTACAAAGGTTGCCACCACATTGGCCTCTTTTCAAAAACATTTTCAAACCTACACACAAAGCACCATTTCAAACAATTGAAAATCAAGGCAAGTTGATCTAAGCAAGTAACTAAGAGCCCATGGATAACCATGGATAGAAAGGGTTCTAATACCTTCCATTTCTATAATCTACTCCCCGAACCCAAGAAAACATCTCAAAGGTTTTTGCTGTGCTTTTTAACCTTTCCTTAGGATAAAATAAAAAGTCGATGGCGACTCTTGCTCAACCGAAACATTTGCGAAAACAAACGCAAAACCTCAAGTCAGTTCTCCCAA